TGTACCTTGACTGTCTCAATTGTTATCATTTGAACCACAGTAATTGTTACGTCTGAACTATGTCGGTATCTTCTTTTCGATTTGTCATGTAGCCGAATTCACAATACGGTCATATTTAACTCCACGCCACGGCATTTGAAGTGGAAAAACTCCCACCAACACATCTGTCTGTGTTCGTCTTGCGTCTTGGCAGACAGTCAGTCAGTGGCGCCGGGCGCCGTTTGGTTTGGAATCAGTACTGTCGCCGGCGACACACATTCACTTATTGCCTACCCACAGTGGTGGTCCTATGGTTTCATTTTGTTGGGATATTATCACCGGGGGGGTGTGGATGAAAATTTCCTCTAGAAAAAAAGGGTGGTCAAGGGCTGAAAATGTAAAATTGAAAGTTTAAAGACGTACTTTATAGTATTTTAGCTCTACAATATATTCTAGCTAATAGTATTTATGTTAGATAATTAAATATAAAATATGTCGGAGGGGATTTTTTTCTCCCACCCCCCTCCCATTGGTGCACCACTGCCTACACGTGAGATGAATCAGGTTAGGACTAATTCTAAATTAATTATATACTGGGTGTCCGGGAACTCTCTACCAACATTTTAGGGCATTTTTAATGAGTAATAAACATATCAATATCACATTTAAATTGTCAGGATGTCCTCAGCTACTCACAAAGCCACCAATTTTTTTTTCGTTTATTCATATTTTTTAAGAATGGTTAAACATACGAAATTGAAACCTTGCACAAACATTTATGACCACTAGACAAAGCAACCAAAAGATAATTACAATTTTTAAATTTCATAAAACAAAATGGCGGCCAATTAAAATTGTGTTTCTTAAATAACTAAAAAAAACATTGAATGAAAAAATTACAATAACTTTTTAAAGGAAATTTTGCTAAAAATCGATTTACACCTTTTTTTGTAACATTGAACGATTATTAACTGATATACTGGCATGTACAGGGTGAATTTTAAATGAGTTCCCCCCTACTTTTTTCTACATTTCTTAAGATATCAACTTCGGACCACGTTAGATCATTGTAGTGTAGTAAGTACTTCATTTTGAATGGATAAACATTTTTGGCCGCCATCTTGGATCCGTCATATTGGATACAATTTTTTTTTCAAATGTAAAGGTAGGGTTGTGACCCATTGTTTCAAACTAGAATTTTACGCTGATTACACTGCCACAATTAGTTTAAAAAAATCTTGATCCGTTCTAAAGTTATGAGGGCTTTTTATAACTTAATTTTTAGCCCATTTTAACATTGTGCATTTACAAACTAAGACCATAATCTCAAAATAGTGTTAGATAAAGATAAGTATACACCACCATTCATTGTCGACCTATTATCACTTGGTTATGACGGATTATTTTTTTTCGGCCGCCATCTTGGATCTGTCATTTTGAGATGTGATAAATTAATTTAAATATGAAGGTGGTGTTGTGACCCATCATTTTGAACTACTTTTTTATGCTGAACTCAATGCCGCAATCCGTTTTTGTTTCTCAGGCTTTCTTGATGAAATATTAAAATTATCTTACTTAAATTTCCAATATTTCAAAAAACAAATATGAAAATGCAAAACGGATTGCGGCATTAAATTCAGCATAAAAAAGTAGTCTGAAATGATGGGTCACAACACAACCTTCATATTTAAATTAATTTATCACATTTCAAAATGGCAGATCCAAGATGGGGGCCAAAAAAATACATCCGTCATAACCAAGTGATAATAGGTCAACAATGAATGGTGTTGTATACTTATCTTTATCAAGCACTATTTTGAGATTATGGTCTTAGTTTGTAAATGCACAATGTTAAAATGGGCTAAAAATAAAGTGATAAAAAGTCCTCATAACTTTAGAACGGATCAAGATTTTTTTAAACTAATTGCGGCATTGTAATCAGCGTAAAATTCTAGTTTGAAACAATGGGTCTCAACCCTACCTTTATATTTGAAAAAAATTTTGTATCCAATATGGCGGATCCAAGATGGCGGCCAAAAATGTTTATTCAGTCAAAATCAAGTACTTACTACACTACAATGATCTGACGTGGTCCGAAGTTGATATCTTAAGAAATGTAGAAAAAAGAAGGGGAGGAACTCATTTAAAATTCACGCTGTATATCTCCAGCCCTGACCTCCAGCGGTCATGTATCACTGAAGCTGCGGGTATATCTAAGTTAATATTTTTATTCCAATCTTAAAAATAAGATGTCAATCGATTTGTAATGAAATTGTCTTAAAAAAGTAATAGTAAGTTGTAGGCCCAAAACCAACCGTTTTTGAGTTATTTAAGAAACAAAACTTTTAACGGCCGCCATTTTGTTTTATGAATTTGACAAATTGTCATAATTTTCTGGTGTCTTTTTGTGCAACGTTTCCATTTCGCATGTTTAGCTATTCTATAGGGGGGAAATAAGTAAAAAACAACGATTTTTATAAAAATGTATTATGTTGTAGCCCTTTTATTCTGAACAAAATGGCATGACTCCCATTTCTGTAAAAATTACGGTTCAAAAGTTATTGTGAATTATGTTATTTTCCCATAAAACTCCATAAAATAACAAAAAATAGGATTTTAGAAAAAAAACTGGTTATAGTTTAACGCAGTATGTTATGGTTCTTATAATAATGAAAGTTTTTTTACTTTTTAGAAATTTGGATTTTTAATGGGGATTTTCCCATAAAACCCCATAAAATAACAGAAAATCGGATTTTTTGAAAATGGCCCGAACGATTTTAATAAAAAATTAAGTATGTTGTAGTACTTTGAATTCTGATCAGAAAGGTAAAATTTAAAAACGCACCGTTTTCGAGATATTTGAGAAAATAGTAAAAGAAGTCCCATTGAGATATTTGTAAAATAGTAAAAGAAGTCCCATTGCCCTCCATTTTTCTTTAAACCCTCCTTCCAAAATCCAACACTCAAATCAGTGTAACTTTTTTACACATATTAAGGGAGGTCTATTAAACAATTTAGCACTCATTAGAAACTTTTTTCATTGGTGTCCATGGGTTTCCTCCATTTAAAAAACAACTTTTTAGAATTTGAGAAAAAAATCACATTTCCCCCTCAATATCACCTGAACCGTTTATAGTAGATAGGTATTGTATGGTATCATTTTGTCCGAAATTTAATTGAGATTATTTTTGTAATGTAGGCTATTGTATTTTGAGAAAAATGCACCGTTTTTGAGTAATTTGCAAAAAAGTTAAAAAGTCCTATTTTCACTCCATTTTCACCCCCTCCCCCCCTAACCCGACACTCAAATCAGTGTAACTTTTTTTTACTTATTGAGGGAAGTGTATTTAACAATTTGGTGCCGTTTTGGAACTTTTTTTTATGTCCCGGTTTGCTATTTTTTAAGCTAATTGCACTGTACTATGTATCTATCTATATATTAATAGGCAAGCATGTTTCTTTAAAACCTTTTTTCTCAGCTCGTGTGCATCGCAGGAAAAATCTTCGCATACTATTGGAAAGATATTTTTCCGTAGGTGTGCAGAATCCCTTTAAAAATTAAAATAGGCTCAGAAATAAGCACAAAAAAGGAATTTGAAATTTGAAAAAATTAACATGGGCTTTATGGGTTTCTATGCTGGTGACGAAATAACAACGAAATATAAACAGAAAATCAAAACAAATTGATGAAACTCCAATCACATGTTTTATTTACAGTGTGGGGTGAAAATAGAGAAGTCTGTACATTACAAATGTTTGGTCGAGTTTCGACCACTGGACGACCTCTAGTTAAGTATAAAAACATGGTTATTTGTTTAAAACTTAAAATAATTCGTTGGGGAGCTAATTTTTGGACTTGGAACCTCTTATATGCATCATCTCACTTCATTTACTTTTTTACTTACACCAAAAAATATTTGTCACACTGGCTACCAATCACCCTGTACTGTATTATAATTTCTAAAGTACTTTTTTTTGTCGATACACCGTAACTTCCTTAACTCTTCACCAATTTTCATAAATGAGGTGTCATTTTAAAGCTATTTTTACCCACAACCCGAGGAAAGTATACAAATCACTCATTTTTCAGTAGGTTTTTGTAAAAATTATCTATTATATCTTTCTGCGAGTAATTTAAACTTGTAATGTTTATTTACGTTACCGGTATTCAATCACCTGAAACATGGGAAAATTGGGGAATTTAAAAAAATATTATTCCTATCCCAAGCTTTCCAAATTCAAAATTTCCATAACAAATCTTGCTGCTCGAAATAAGTAAAACGTAAAACTTACTTGTTTACATCTGCTGGTACTTAAAATTACTTTGGCAAATTCCGAGATAATTTCTCACAATCGTAGCCACATTCGTGATCATATCTTTTGATCGTGGAAAAATTTGTGGTGATTTCCCACAATCGCGGTAACATCTGAGATCATCTTACAATCACGACGGAATTTGTGACGGTTGCCCATTGATCATTACTTGCGATCTCGGTAATGCCAGAGTTGCAGTAACGTTGTAAGTATCTCACATTATCCCAGCAAAATCTGTCATAATATCCTGCAACCAAGACAGCACAAGTGATATTTGCGATTGCGGCAATATCTGATATCATCTTGCAATAGCGGTGGAATTTGTTATGATTTCCCATGATGGCGGCAACGTCCGATCGGCTCCAGCGATTATTTTAACCCCTGTAAGTATTTTTTGCAATCATGGCCACATCTCAGATCATCCTATAATCATGGCGGAATTTGTGATTATATCCCTCGATGGCGGCATTGTCGGTTGTTTGTGATAATTTCCCCTATCGCAATTTTCTAACTGGTGATTTCGGGCAGATTTTTTGGCTACTACTCGATCATTAAAATTTGCCGTTTTTGTTTTTTTTTACAATATTTGCCTATGATTCACAGATTTTTCCCCGATCATCAAAATTCATGTAAAACTCCTGGTTCCCGGTTTCCAGGTTGGCTGGACACCCTAATGTAGACATATAAATAGGACTCTCCTCACTTACTTTTGTAAGTGGATGAAAAATCCATGTTTAAGAGCCACTTGACAATATCTGTGATGTCGGACTTGAGTGGGTGACCAACACATGTGTAGACTGAGTCTTCATTGACCTTAGGGAACGCTGTTGCAGCACTCTGTAGAATGTTTAGTACCTGCGCAGATACAATAACAAAGATATTGCATTACTACAACAGCTTATTTGGAATACGAGGTTACTACAATTAATTTTAATGATGACAACTTAATATTATAAATTAAGTCTCAAATCTTGTAAAAAAAGTATGTTTTTTATGTAGCTTATGCAATTCTCTTTATAAGTTTGACTGAAAACTTTTTGATTGATTTCAGATTAATTAAAATAACCTTAAAAATTATTTCACAAAAAGTAAGTGAAACTAAAAGGGTGGAGTCATTATATTTAGCAAGAACTGATATTGCAGTTGTCATAATTAGACCTTAATATCATAATCAATACTTGGCTAATGCCTCTTACAAATAAATACATGCAAAAATATTTCTCTTTAACCCTTTTAAGGCCGACGGCCGTAATAGCCCCCCGCGGGCAAAGTCACGTTTGCGGCCGACGGCCGTAATAGGCACCCGCCTCTTTTTTTCCATTTACTGGCTGTTTAATTTTTCCAAACGCCACAAAACTTGGTATTGTTGTGTAGGGGGATTTCCAGGCTACATAAATAACAGCAAAGATTGCCGTTTTCGTAATTTTTTTTTTTTATTTCTGTGCATTTTGCTGGCGAAATCAGCTTGCTTACTCCATGCCGTGGTCTTCCGTCGTGAGTGAGGTATTGTTTACATTTCGTTGTGCGTTTTGGTAATGTTTAATGTTGATTGTACTTTAACAAGATTGTTGTTTGTACATTTTAACATAAATTATGAGTAAAAGACATCGTGAAAAGTCACCCACAAGTGAAGGTACTCTAATACAGAACATTATTACAAGTGGTGTTACTTTTATTGATGATGGTGACTTGTGTCCTACTGTTGAAAATGAACTGAGAGAAAATGATTCTGGTGAGGAGGATAGTGATTTAGATCTAGCCGATGATACGGATGAGGACCCCGATTTCAATCCAGAGGATCATGAGGTAGAAGAAGAGGAGGACGAAGATATTGATGATTCAGGGCCATCAACTTCCTCAGGTAGGCCTAGGCCTAGGGGCAGACCGCGATCATCTTACCTAGGTAATGATCAAAATAGTGGTGGTGGAAGTTTTGAAACTAGGCCTAGAGGTAGGCAAAGGTGTGTGGTAAATGATGAAAAGGATGTCTACAATGTCCAATGGCCTATATTTGAGTCAGACGCAAATGCAGGGTGGAAAATCGTTTCGGAAGAAAATGATCTAGGTAATGTCACAGCGCATGGATTTTATGAACAACCAGGACCTAGGCATTGCCTTGCTAACAATGCTAGGCCTATTGATTATTTCTACCTTTTTTTTACTGAGACATTAGATTACTGAAAACCTTTGTTACTATGACAAACTTGTATGCTACTAGGTACTTGGAGAAATTCCCAAATTCTTCCATAAAGTGGTCACCAGTTACATTGGCTGAAATCAAGGCTTTTATAGCAGTCATACTGAACATGGGCCTAAACAAAAGGCCTACAATTGACAGTTATTGGAGAACCAAAAGTAAAAGCCAATCCTTACCCTGGTTTAGAGAGATGTTCAGTCGTAACCGCTTTGAGATTATTTTACGATTCTTCCACATAACCGATTCAAGTGTCCTCCCTAAGCCAGGAGAACCAAATGCTCTAGATTCTCCCTGTTAGTAGAACATGCCAATAGAGTTTTCTGACGTTATTATGTACCACATAGAGAATTGTCCATAGACGAGAGTTTGATTGGTACAAAAAGCCACACAATGAGCAGTACTTGCCCAACAAACATCATCATAGGTGGGGAATCAAATTATGGATGATGTGCGATTCTGTCAGTAACTATTGTTTGGGCTTTTTCTGTTATAAAGGGAAAAAAGAAAATGAACTGAATGAAAACAAGCAAGAAGGTTTAGCCCATAAAGTTGTAGTTAAATTACTAGAAATGGGAAACTACCTAAATAAGGGATATCACATTTTCGTCAACAATTTCTTTTTGTCCATACCATTAGCTAGGTTTCTGTTCTCAAAAGAAATATATATTACTGGGACCATAAGGAGGAACAGGCAGGAAATCCCATACATAATAAAAGAGAAATTAAAAGTTGGTCAGCAGTGCTACGTAAGAAATGAAAATGAAAATATCCTTATGCTCAGTTACCGAGAAAAGAAGACCCAGAAAAACCCGGTTCTTTTGCTGTCAACTAAGTTTAAGGCAAAAACAGTGGAGAAAACAAAGAAAAGGCAGAATGATTTTATTACTAATAAAAAGCCAGAGGTCATAGATAAATACAATCTGTTTATGGGTGGTATTGACACTTCGGACCAGATGGTGTACTGCTATCTAGATGAACGCAGAACTCTGAAGTACTGGCGTAAAGTAATGTTTAATATCATGGCTCGAATGGTTTTGAACACTTATATATTGTATAAAGAGAATAATGCTGGTAAGATCCTGAATAGATACGATTACACAGCTGACATTATTGATCAATTAGCTGAGGAGTGGTTTGAAACTCGACAAGTTGTTGCGCCTGTGGGAGGAGGTGGAGATGGAATCGACCATTTACCTGGTAGGTTCGAGAAAAACTGCTCAGTGTGTAGCCCTATCAGTACAGCAAATGGTGGGCCAAGGAAAAGATCCAGATATTGTTGCAAAAGGTGCAAAAGGGGTATCCATCCCCTATGTTTTGGACAACACCGCTGTAAATAAGCCTGTCGGCGTTGAAGATGTATATAATTTTTGTGTGAGTATATAAGTTAGGTTAGGTTGATTAACTCTTATTTTTTGTTTTTATTATGTATAGCTGTAATTTATTTTGACTGGAATTATGGAACTACAAGTGATATGGAAGTGTTATTGCATTCGCTTGCATTTTGCATTTTGGATGAAAATCAGTGTGGTGTCACCGTTCATATGATGCGCCATAACTCAACTTCAAATAAAGGTACGCACTTCAAAATTTGTAATTTTACTAATCATCAACTATAGTTTATATATATATGTATGGTTACAAGTGATATATGAAGGTAGAATATTTTTAAGTAAAGGCCAAACATAAAATTTATTTTTAAAAAAATAAAAAATATTATTTATGAATTTTTTTTTTATTTGTAGAATTTGTGGGTAATTTGTATATTTACTGAAAGCCTATTCGATTTCCAACAAGTAAAAAAAAATTATTGGTTTATGATAAAAAATAAAGCTGTTATGAATATTTAACCAAAACTATGCTCGCCAGCTGGAAAATCACCTGGCCTTTCTGGGACAAACCACAATAAAATATCTGGCCTTTGAGTGATGGGCGCCGTTTTGGTGCTTGGCCTTAAAAGGGTTAACTGTGCCTGTATTTTTTTATCTTATATTGATTAGATGTAAGTTATCATTTGCTGTATTATTAATATCATTATGTATTTTGTGACAGTTGTTAATGCATTGTAAAATGTCTACAGCAATAAAATGATTTTGATTTAATTTAACTGTAACTCTTTAATACACTGAATTGATAGTTGATTCTCTTTTTACCAATGTAGGTGTCAATTTCTTTTATAGCACAATGCTCCTGCACTGCAAATATTCTTTATTTACAATTTAAAATATGATATAATACAATACTACCAACAATGTTTTGAAGCTTATAATTTATTTTATTTTTAGCCTCTGACTCCCTTTTTATTTTGACTTCCTTATCACAGTTTAGAGACTAAATAAAAAGAAACCTAGATGTATTGAAATTTGATGACGCAGAGAACCTGCGACATATTATCGGATTAATAACGATATATATCAATATGTATCTGATTTTATATTAATATAGCATCATTATTTTTAACCATATGATAAATACAAACAATAACAAAAACATTAAATATGTTTATTCATCATTGCCTCCAGGATTGATTATTGACAATAATAATGGTTACATACCTTACGTCGTCAGTCCTAAAATAAGTCTATGGCAACTAGTTTCGAAACATCAAGGTTTCATTGTCGAGCCTCTTGCCTTTTGACGACAAGATGTCACAATGTTTTTAAAAGGCAAGAGGCTCGACAATGAAACCTTGATGTTTCGAAACTAGTTGCCATAGACTTATTTTAGGATTGACGACGTAAGGTATGTAACCATTATTATTAAATATGTTTTGTGTTTATTTGATTGCGATTAAAAGGAGGAAATAATTAATTTTATAACACTACGCAGTTATCATATTAGGCATAACAGTATTAAAAACTGCGTTGATTAAAAAAATAACAATGTTTTATACCGTACCGAAAAAAGCAAAATCATAGGCTTTAGTTTGTTTATCATAGTTTGTAGTTTTAGTTATTGTTGATTTTTTATTTTTCATTGAATATTATTTGTTTTTGGTAAGCCTAGTATATTATAATTTTTATTTATTAAATATCAAGAAAATTGTTTAAAAAATCATAACTTAATTCGATCTTTACATAGTGAAAAAGAAACATAGGACCGATCTATTGAATCGGATAATCGATATATAACGTTATTCATCCGATAATATATCGCAGGTTCTCTGCGGAACTGTACCCATTTACTCACCTTTCTCATGTCTCCCTGAGATAAATCAATCAAGGCTTTTTTCCCATCTTCAGTTACACTGACACTAAAAAAAATGTTAACTATATTATTAATTATGTTTAAACATACATTCTTTTTGGATTTGTTGCAATGTTCATATCTTCTTCTCAAAAAATAAAGGAACTCAAAGTAAAATTTTATAAAACCATTTATTATTTATCAAATGGCGAAATCCAAATGTTGTTGTTCTGCCTTATATTAGATGTATATTTAAGGCAATTTATGTAACTGAAAAAATAATTTAAGTTTAGATGTGTTAAGATGTAATGCGTTCATATCACAATCACAGCAATAGCCTGCCCACAGGGCCCGCAGCAGGCGCCGCGGACAGGGGCCGCCTGCCTTGACTGGGATTTGTCAGGAAAGTCAAAAAATGTTCATCAGTCATGCGGGTTGCATCCATTGTCCTCGTAGCCTACGTGAAGGCGCTATAATAGGGCCGTATTTAGAACCAATGTGTCCCCCGGCGGGTCACACCAGGGTGGGCTTTCAATGCTGATTCAACTAAATGAACTCGACCATTTTTTTTTACGATTAAATCGGCAAAAAAACTCAGCGACTAGGACAATTAGGGGGCTGCACACTTGATTTGTTTACTTCGAGGCAGGTCAAAAATGTTACCTATAGGTCTCGGTCCAAAATGAGATCGGTTTGCTTTGGAAACCGTTAATTTTTTATATAGAATATCGATTTTTGAGCCGAGCAGAGCCGGCCTACAAGCTTGAGGATCAAGGAAGCTCACGAGATTGTAAGATTAATGCTTTTGCTGCGATCACGGATATCGACAGCATTTCGAAAACATTTCCCCGCGGGTGACGATTACAATGTCTTCAAGGCCGCAGGAGATGTTTAATATTTTGTCGCGATTGCGGAAGACGATAATAATGTCCACACGACCACAGGAGACGTTCAGGGTTTTGCTGCAGCGATAGTGGAAGACGATTTTAATGTTTCCGTGACTGTGAGAGATGTTCAAGATTTTGACGCAATAGTAGAAGACGATGATGAAGTTTTTCCATGGGAGATATATCTAGGATTTTGCCGTAGTTGTGGGAAAAAATTATGTTTCTGTAATTGCGGGAGATATTAGGGATTGGGCCGCGAACGCGGGAGACAATGACGTTGTTATCTGATAATGTTCTGGGTTTTGTTACAAACACGGTAGACTTTGATAATGTTTCCATGAATGACTATGGGAAGTATTCACGATTTTGCTTCGATCATGGAAGACGATGATGACGCTTTGGTGCCTCGGGAGATGTTAATGTTTTTAAAGATTATTATTGAGTTTGAAATAACGCTAAATGAATTTATTTTCATGTTTCACAAAAGCCAACTAGATAAATCTATACAAATTAAATCGACGCTCCATTCTCGATTCCGTCCCTATTGTTTACTCTAGTTCAGTCCATTCAACAATTACCTTTTAGTTTTCAGTCCAGCCTTTGGATTACTATCAGGCCAAATTAAATGTATATTTATATATACACAAAATATTCCACATTGTCCATTTATCTTAAACAAGTGTCCCTGTTGCTCGAATTCGAGCAATCGCTAAGTATTACAGGCGTTATTTTAAAACGAATAACAGTCATAATCTCTGATGACTTTTAAAAGATTTGACTCGGCTCAATGATTATGGAAATACTCAAGATGTACATAACAGATCAAAATAATCAACATTTCTTGAAAATATCTTATCATTTTTAAAAAAGCTGATCTTGTTTTTTTGTGTTTTCTACAAATAGCCTTAGTCATAGCCTCATTCGGTTGTTGATAATAATTCTAAAAGAAAACATTATTTCTATTTATTCTCCTTGGTGGTGTTCTATGACTTTCCTATGTTTCCATAGTTTGCAAATCGGCTCTTTCAATGATTACTAAGAAATAAATCACAGTGTTCTTAAGAAATTCAGTTTTCTTTTTAGTATATCAAATTATATAGGTTCTCTTGCTTTTTTCCATTGTAATATTTACACCAACCCCAATTTAAATAGTAAATATTTCCTTTCAACCAAGTCAGTAAATGTTTGTAGCAAACTGTTAAATTAGAAAACTTGTTGACTGTTTTTAACTAACTTATGTTCTTCTCACTTTTAATTTCTGACAACAGCTGGAGTTTCATAACAATTTTTGTTTCCCATGTTAATCTTATGGAGAAATATGAAACTTTAAAGGGCCCCAGGGCCTCACTCTCTAATTATTTCCCTAAAAAGAAAGTTTCCTGCACAACTTCACATTAAACGCTCTTTCCAATGACACCAAAAACATATCAATCATTTTAGTAGTTTAGGAGGAGTAATTGTCACAAAAAACCTGCTTGCGTATTAAATAAGTACTAGTGTACCGGTTGCTCGAATTCGAGCAATTGCTAAGTATTACAGACGTTATTTTAAAACGAATAACAGTCATAATTTCTGACGACTTTTAAAGATTTGACTCAAAGATTATGGAAATACTCAAGATTTATATAACAGATCGATATAATCAACATTACAATATCTTATAATTTTTCAAAAGCTGATCTTGTTTTTTAGTGTTTTAGTTTTTTAGCGTCAGTAAAATGTTTGTAGCAAACTGTTAGCAAACTTATTGACTGTTTACAATTAACATGTGTTCTTCTTCTCACTTTTAATTTCTGACAACAGCTGGAGTATCATAAAAAAATTTCTTTCCCATGTTAATCTTATGGAGAAATACGAAACTTTAAAGCGCCCCAGGGCCTCACTCTCTAATCATTTCCCTAAAAAGAAAGTTTCCTGCACAACTTCACGTTACGCTCTTTCCAATGACATCAAAAACATGTCAATCGGTTCAGTAGTTTTGGAGGAGTAATTGTCACAAAAAACCTGCTTGCGTATTAAATAAGTATAGATAGATAGATTCATAACATCTCCCCACTTATTAAATTCCAATAATAAAAAAATCTAAACAAAAACAAAACATAAAACATAACAAAACACTGAAAACACAAACAAATATAACGGTTTGCTTCTTTGCAGGGAGATGTACCACATTAAGTTACAAGTCCAGTTTTTGAGGTGTTCTCCAAACACGTTTAGAGCACCCAGGACTTATATCATTGCTTGTTGGAGTCTTTACTGTATAAATGTCTTCCTGCATCTTGTAATCTTTAGAAGTTCTGGGTGGAACACCTTTTGGCGGAGATTGAGCATTTGTGATCTTGTCAACTGGCCTACTTAACCCTAAATTATCCCTGGGGATTGGTAATCTGACTTCTTCACCACGGTCTGATGTTTCCTTTCGTTTTATGATCCGCATGAACAAACCTTGTCTTTACTTCCACATTTACTAAGTACGTTACTGAGCAAACTATTTTAGTAACCACTCCAGGCAGCCAATTAACTTGTTCTTGCCTAACACTGTGGACACAAACTGCTTCTCCTTCTACAAAAAATCTTGATTTACCACTAGAGGAATCTGCATGAGATTTAATTAACAGCTGCTTCTTTTCCATTTCTCCTAATGGATGAGGTTTAAGCAAACTTAAGATAGTTCTAGGATTGGTTTTCAAAAACATCTCTGATGGTGAAAGGCCGGTAGTTGAATGTGGAGTATTCCTATAGGTAAATACAAAGCTGCAAATCCTATGCTGTAGTGTTCAATGAGGTTGGTCACATCATATAACATCTGGTTAAGAAAAACTTCCTTTGCTGTTTGAACCATTCTTTCTGCTAAGCCATTAGTGGCCAGATGATACGGTGGTGAAAAAACATGGTGTATTCTATTGAAAGTTAAAAATTCATTGAATTCTTGACTTATGAACTGTGGTCCAGTGAGCTGACAGTCTAGTCCATTGTCGACAAAGGGGATTCTCATATTTAGTAATTTAATTTTACAGACTGGTCAACGGTACTTACGATGAAATAACTTGTCGGCGAAGAGGTTTTTCGTATTTATATATTTAATTTTAAAAGACGGTCTAGTGGCCTGACGACGAATTAAAATGTTGAACAATTGGTAGGCTCCCTCAAATTCATCCAACTTACCAATATATAAAATATCTGGTTTTACAATACCTTTATCAGTTCCAAAAAGTAACTTTCGTCAACGTGTGTTACATGTTTCGGCGAGCTGCCATTGTCAAACACTTCAATACAGGAAGATGTAGATCCGCTTGAATAGCTTCGTTACAACACATTGCACGACATACAACATTTTTACACGACACGTACGACATAAAAATAAAAATAAATACTTGTAGTTCGATAGGCCTATCATGAATATGTAACATTGCCGGTACACGAGCGGGAACAGACTGTCGGTGGAGGGTTCAAGTCAGCGCTATCTGGTTGAATTATCTTCGTTATCTGTTGTGGTCAGCTGATCAGATTTGTTTCCTTGTTGCAGTAGCGTGTTAAAAATTATATTTGACTTAAACTGGAGTTTGTCATTCAGGATATGGTTGTTGGAATCCAGATTTTTTATTGATTTGTATATTTCAAACTCCTCCAAGACGTCCATTTTATTTCCCTTTTGACAGTAATGTAGTATTTGCAGACCGGTGTTAATGTCATTCATATCGTGATTACAGTCAATAAGGTGTTGGGCAAATGTTGATTTTTGTGTGTCTGTTCTCGGGTCTACTTGTTGTACATGTGGACCCGTTATGTATACGCAAGTATAGGATGGTAATACTGATAAAGGTATTGTAAAACCAGATATTTTATATATTACAGTTCCGGGGCTACAACAATGAATTTTACCAATATAGTTTTTCCACATTTTTGTGTTTTGCTTGGCCTATTGTTGACTTAGAATTGTATATTTAAATACTGCGCGAAAATCAAACTACTTTCTTTAACACGTACAAATGAAATAAACTATCCTGTCCCCGTCGCCATTTTAGAAATAACGCAAAATGAATTTATTTTCATGTTTTATTCACAAAAGCCAACTAGATAAATACAAATTAACTCGACGCTCCATTCTCGATTCCGTCCCTATTGTTTACTCTCGTTCAGTTCATTCAACAATTGCCTTTTAGTTTTCAGTCCAGCCTTTGGATTACTATCCAAGCCAATTAAATTAAATGTATATTTATATACACACAAAATATTCCAAATTATCCATTTTGGAACAAATGGAATAAATAAATAAATAAACTTAAATTCATAACAATTGGGAGAGGGCCCACGGGTTCTTATCCCCGCCACTGATCACAATGTGTTGTTTTAAATTAACATTAAATTTCTGTAAAAGATTAATAAAAGATATAAAAGAAATAAGAATATAAGATTTAAAAGATAGTAATGGTAATGTAAAGTTAAAGGGTTTTGACAACTTTGAAGTAAGCAAAGTTTTAGGTATTAATTGCGAAGAAAATAAACCGCTGAAATCTTAAAATGTATGCCAAAACTCACTTTTCTTGCATGATCACATATTCAAGCCTGGGTAGGATCTGCTCGGAAGCCAGAGGCCCAAACCTAAACCTTGTACAGCGAGACTGGAGGGCTGGGATTATCTTGCTGAGGTAGTTACAGATCAGGCAAAATCTTACGTTGTCGGTAAACTTCTCAATAACTGTCAACATCATTTTAAAAATTTGTATTTTTAAATACTCAATTAGTTACAACACTGACACATCATGGAGCTTAGGGCAAAGATAAATGATAAATGGGTGTAAAGTGAATAATGTTATATCATTGTCATTCTAGATTCTAGTCACAAATTACTTTGAGTTATGGAATTTAAAAGAGTTGAAAGAGTTAGTTGACTGATGAAGGAGAGTCAGTCTATACAAATAGTTAATCAGACTTATCTGATTTTATTTCATTCCCTCCTGCAGAACCCCCCCCCCCTCCTGTAGGTCTAAGCTTAAGTTAGGATAGTTTGTGCCTAGTAAAAAAAACCCCCTTCTGCCGCAGCAGATCAGCAGGCTAAGCGAATATCCATTCGGATGATTTGATTTTTCTCTTAAATATTTCCTAAAAATGTTAGATTTATTCCCTTTTTGAACAAAACAAGACTAATTCAGCAATTAGGTTTGCTGCTACACGGAAGGTAATGAAGTGGGTTTTCTATTGTTTCCTTAAGAATAACGTGGGCATTTTAAATTTACAGATTTTGAACTTTTCTCCAAAAGCATTTAGTATACAACAACACTTCAGGACACTAAATTACTTGTTTCTTTAAGCGTGGGTAAAAAATGGGAAAACCTGTCCAATCGTACCGGTTCACAAACTTTTTCAAATAAACAAAATACAATATATGAAAATCTGATTATTTTTACTTAAGTTATTGTGCTAACAGACACATATACAAATATGCCCGACATGCTTTTGGGTTTTATTAATACTATGATCAGGCTGAAGTTGTGACTTCCCTACAGGCTAAAGTGACCTTTTTCATGGATTTTCCATATTAGCTTAGGTTATTAGGCTATACCGGTACCTTTGATTATTAATACAACACAACAACTAGACATTCCATCCCCATGTTAAAGTTGTAGCCAGGCTTGTTTGTTTTGAGATCAATGGCTTATCTCTGTGATAAAGCTGTGTTAAAACTGATATACCACTCGCTTATAGAATGTCATATTGGCTACGGAATCGAAATTTATGGTGGGACAGCACAAAAAAATTTGAAAAAGGTTTTAAAACTGCAAAAACAGGCCATTAGAGTTATTGAAAAATTTAAGAATAAGAAGTCGGTGAAAAAGTACTTTAAAGAAATGAAAATTTTTACAGTGTACGGTTTGTATATTTTTAAAACTATTCGGGATGTTTATAAAGATAAAAACACTGAAGTATCCCATAAATACAATACAAGGTGGAAAAATCTTACTGTAAAAAGTCATCATCGTCTGAAACTTTCAAAAATGAAGCCTTCGTATATTGGCAATTTATTTGTAAGAAGTTTGCCTGCCTTACTAAAAAAAGATCAAAACAAACCCAATTTTTTGAAAAAGCTAAAATCATTCTTAATTAATCTGGCTCCCTATAGTATAGATGAGTTTATAAATCAAAAATGAATTAGCTGTCCATTCTAAAATAATTGTCAAATTTATGGTTAAGCCATTTAGATTAAGTTTTATAACTAATGTTGTATGCTTTGACACTATTCATGTATATAAAATGTATAAAGTGAATAAAGAAAATTTGATTTGATTTGATTTGATTTTTAATAAAATTTGTCTTAGTTGATGTGAGCCACCTACAGATTGCGCTGATCTGAATTACTGATTTCTGCCGATAACATGATGGTTTTTACCAAGTCAAACTGATGGAATGACTTATTATGAGCTATAGCAACTATTGTGACCCCGCAACTATGTCAGTAACGAAAAATAAGGTACAAAATAGAGTTTTTGACACTAGCGCAATCTGTGACTGGCTCACACAACTACATTCTTTTTTAGTAAAAAATTGGCGACAGCTGATCCATATAGATGGGATGTCTTCCGGTACTGTAAATGAATGGATTTGATTTAGTAGGTCCTTAATAACTGTTACTTAGTAAGTACCTACTAAATCAAATCCATTCATATATAGCCTAATAACTTAGGCTAATAAACACATGGGACTACTGAAGTCAGACTAAAGCAGGGTTTACACGATATTAGTTGATGAGACGGGTTGTCTTTGCTAATGGTCATCACGTGATTGCGAGATTGTCGAAGGCCAGTCTAATCCAGGAGACAACAAAATAAGTCAATTGGCCTGAAATTTTTACTTGATTCTAGTAATTTCATGCCAGTCAGTTGTCTTCTGACAATTGTCTAGCCTACTGGCACCACGTAAACCCGGCTTAAGCGGGAACTTCTCCTGATTTGATATTATTGTAGATTTTTAGCGAATTCCCCATATAGAGAATAAACTATTACCGTAGTACTCATGGCAAGACCTGGACCCGGGACCGATACTTGTTCGTTTTGAGGTCCCTAGAGGCCAAAAACACCATCCGTTCAAATTCCTATATATATATATATATATAGCCTATATATATATATATAGCCTATATATATATATATGTATATATATATATACATATTTATATATACAGATATGAGTGGGTCCGCTAGCACGATAACTCGAGCAAAAATAGTTCAATTTTGATAAAATTTGGTACAAACGTGTAAACCTACATTTATTCAAACGAGTTCAAACCAGCATTTTCGGACTATGGGAACGGGGGTTTATGGGGGGTTTTATGGGGGAAAATATGTTTTTCCCATTTTTTACCCTAAAAAACATAAAATTTTGCAATTTCTCTTGAAACCATTTTGTAGAGCTTAAAAAAACAAATCATTTAGTATGTTGAAGCGTTATCATGCATCTAATGGTTACAGAGAAAATTCCAAAAAATTGTAATTTTAAAATTCTTATATGGAGAATAAATAAACTGTTATCGTTTGCCTTTCTTTTTATGAACATATTTTGATCAAATTTGGAAAATACATTTATTTTATACTAAACTATTAACATTTCCCCCCCCCCCCCCCAAAAAAAAACACTTTATTACCCTCCCTGTTGCAGCAAACTTTAGTACTCGTTAAACTAATGCTATTTATTTAGATAGGGAACAATGTGATATTTGTAAGGAGATATTTTATTGTAAATCAAATTAGGCAAATGGAAATTCGCTTAGTCTGCAGGTTTGCTGCGGCGGGGGTATTGTTATATCTTTTTTTTTAATTTCTTTAAATATAATCAATAGAATAGTGGGATTAAAAGCTCGACTTGGCTAAAAATCAAGCCGCTTTAATTTGATTTCTCTAAAAAGCTAAAATGATATCTTCAATTTTAAGAGGCACAATAACTAATTTATTAAAGTTTACTCAAAATGGGAGGTTCACTTACTTCTTCTAAGAGCATTCTGGGCATCATTTGTCATTGCATCAGCTTCATCAAGAATGATCAACTTGAACCCGGACTTGAATATAGTTCTAGTACTTGCAAAGTTTAGGATCTGTCCACGCACAATGCCAATACCTCGGTCGTCTGAGGCATTGAGTTCCAAAACCTATGTGGGTACAAAATATTCCAAATAAAATCCATCTGAATTATTTCCTTATTTTATTTTCTACCATAATTTTCATGTTAGTTATACAGTAGAACCTCTTTAATCCGAACTAATTGGGACCAGGGGTAGTTCGGACTATTGAATAGTTTGGATTATAGAACATATTGTTGTTTTCACATAACAATAGCTTAAACATGGCTAAAATTGATCAAAATTATTTTGGGAAAAGTGAAAAAATGTTTTTAAAATTAAAATACAGTGTTTATTTAATACATGGTGAATAAACAGTACTGTACATTAAATACATTATACAATAAAGAACTGCTGTACTGTGCATAGAGTACAGCAATAAGGGGTTCGGATTAGTGGACGTTCGGATTACAGGAGTTCGGATTAAAGAGGTTCTACTGTACTATAACGGTATATATTGCCTTGATCAAGTGCACTGGCCTACTTAAAGCAACAGCTTTCAGTAGGTCAGCACAACAAGCTATTGTTTAACAACACTTCCAGCCTACTCACACAACATTTCCAAACCCTTCCTCTTTGCAATATTCGACCCTCCTATTACAATACTATAGAGTTATATGGGTTGCCTGTCTTTTAACAATATTTTCTTACTATGAATACAAAAAGCATCATAAGCTCCCATAAGCTCCAACAAACTTTATCATGGGTAAGCGGTGGGATTAACTATGATAATTTTGTAGGAAAAAATAACAAAAAAGTTGCAATAACTTTTGAACCGTAATTGTTACAGTAATAGTGGTTGAATTTTTTTTTAGAATTTCAAGGCCCATAATACATGAATTTTAATCAACACTAGAATTTTTTCCAAAATCTGATTTTTGTAATTTTATGGGATTTTTTATGGGAAAATAACATAATTACAATAACTTTGGAACCGTAATTTTTACAGAAATGGGATTTGTACCATTTTGTTCAGAATTGAAAGGACTATAACATACAAAATTTTTATAAAAACCGTTTGGGCCAATTTTGAGAAAATCAGATTTTTCTGTTTTTTATGGGTTTTTATGGGAAAATCCCCATTAAAAATCTAAATTTAACAAAAATTTAAACAAAACGCCTGGAAATACCATGGTTTAGAACCTACATACCAAATGTCATCAAAATCTGACTACAGACATGGTCTGTAGCTCTGAAAATCCACACAAACAGACACACATACACACAGACATCACTTTAAAAACCAATTTTTTGGGTTCAGGGGGGCTCAAAATGGACATATCCACTCAAAACACAAACTCAAAAATTTTGATGACAAAAATACTTTCTCCATTACTATGTATAGCCCCGAGAAAGTAAAAAGAGAGAACCGGAACCTCTTAAAATTTGCCACCTCGGGACTAAGTCTAAGCAGGATAAAGATTTAAATAAACCTACTGTAAAGGATAGATCAAAAGGGCCTTTTTTGTGAGTATAGCAGGCTTACCTGAATAACTGGCACAAGAACCATTATACCTGAAGAAAATGGTCTCTTCCTTAGTTGAAAATGCTGTGAGTGACAATGAAATACGTTTGCTTTGTGAGACAGTGAAATACTCTAATGTTTTGTGTATAACATGTACACTTTTCTGTTTCTATTGCCAGTTTGGATCTTTCCTATTCAATTATGCCTGATATCCATGGGGGTCCATCAATATGGGCTAGTGGGAGGGGCTCATGCTCCCCCTCCCGAGACCCTATGTTAACCACATTTTTAGATTTGGCAGTAAAAACATTAAATAATTGACAAAGCAAATTTAGGTATATAAAATATTTTGTACAGAAATTATAAAAAATTTTCAAGGAAGGACCCCTGGACCCCCCCCCCCCCTGCCTCTTTATAGGGAGTTATTCTGTACCTCCCAGCCTCCTTATGAAAAAGCTAAATGGACACCCATTCTGATATTCTCTTAAAAACTCCTACAAAACAACTGTAAAAAAGGGAATTTAACTCCTACTAGAAAACCCATGCTGCTCCTCAGTGTTAAAATAAATATAATATCCGAGAAAAATCAAATTTATGATTTTTGATTGAGTAACCTATCTTGAGCTTAACTGATTCAAACAATCAATAGCTCAAATTAAAGCCTATAATTTAATGATTATTTTTAGTCTAAAACATGTAAAAAACATGAACAATACTGGAGCTGTTGATTTTTTTAATCATAAAAAAACCTTATGAAAAGGCCAAGTGGGATTATAGATATGCCGATGCTTGATGGCAAATCTGTGCATGCACACCTTCAATTTGAGACCTAAATCATGAAAATCGAGCTCGGGAAAGAGAAACCAAATTTAACTGCCATACGAAATACATGGGGAGCAAATTTTGTTTTTGTATAAGCCGAGTGGGATTATAGATAAATATATGCCCATGCTTGATGGCAAATCTGTGCGTGCACTTTCAATTTGAAACCTCAATCATGAAAATCAGACGGGTAGAAGAGTCAAACGAACTCGGAAAAGAGAAACCAAATTTAAATCCCATAAGAAATACATGGGGAGCAAATTTTCTTTTACGTATAAGCCGAGTGGAATTATACATAAATATATGCTGATGCTTGATGGCAAATCTGTGCGTGCATACCTTCAATTTGAGACCTCAATCATGAAAATCCGTCGGGTAGCAGAGCCAAACGAACTCGGAAAAGAAAAACCAATTTTTTTTAATATATAAGACTAGTGTACCTGTTGCTAGAATTTGAGCAATTGCAAAGTATTACAGGCGTTATTTTGAAACAAATAACAGTCATAATTTCCGATGACTTTAAAAGAGTCAACTCGAAGATTATGGAAATACTCACAATGTACATAACCGATATAATCAACATTTCTTCTAAATATCTTATAATTTTTCAAAAGCTGATCTTGGTTTTTAGTGTTTTCTTAATGTTTCCCACTATTTAAGTATCTGCCACCTCTAGGCAACGAAGTTTGCCGCCCCACCAAACCCCCCCCCCCCCCTCATAACTCTGTCTGCGCACTCCCCGACCTCAGTAATATCTCCTCAATGGCCAATACATGCCCTATCAGCTGATTTTGTAGAAAAATAATCGGTAGTATTGCATGCTACATCAAAAAATTTAATAACTTTTCAGAGCCTTTTTAATAAACGTTTTTTTTCGACTTTTTTTATGCAAAATGTGTTTCTGACTTGGATACACGGAATATCCAATCAGTATATAATCACGTTTTGTGGCGTGAAACGGCAGACAAAATTGTCCGTGTACAAGGGCTCTTTATAACGCTTTTCATTCAACACTTTTAGTCAGATCCACTTGAGAGACTATTGGCATTGAAATGAAACAAATATGTTTACTACCACTATGGCACACCTACACACATGTATTATTTTTTACCCGCTCAACTACGCTTAACTACCGCTCCACTATGTTTTCACCCTTGACCAAAATTGTCGCTTGTCGAGCCATTGAGTTTGCCGCTTGCCCCTAACCTCTAAAATCCAATCTACTGTAATGATAAACAAACAAAAAAGAAAACATTAAGTTGTAAACTTACCAGCCATTAAAAAAGTGATTGTATGACTCCAACATAGCGACATTTATACAATTTCGCAAGCCGATTAAGCCGATTTTATTGTGATTAAAAAATTAAAATTTTTTTTTTATACAATCTGTTACATTTTGGTAAAAATCACAATAGAAATACCACCATCTCTACACACCACAGTGTTTACACACCACATTGGCATTCGGATGAACTTTCAACCTTTCAGCTCACTGCGTAGTAGCGTATGAAGTATGAAGTAAACAGGGGGAAGTGTTTTCTTCGATGGCCATTACGCAGCAGCCGGCAATACCGCTCAAGCGGCGCGCATGTCCGCCAGACCAATAGGGCAGCACGGAAAACTCAGCACAGCCTTATACTAAACTATTGACTTTTGTTTAACTAAAATGTTTTCTGAAATAATTGTAGGGTATACTTAATCAAAGTATTTCAAATGGCTGTTTTGCCGTTCCCAGAATAATTTGCTAATTGGCCCCTAAAATTTGCCTCCGCCTATTCGGAAATATGTCCCTGAGGTTGTCCATAATAAAATTTCTTTTTGAATTTATAATCGTTATTATTATTTCTATTTCTTCTACTTAGTGGTGTTCTATGACTCTCCTATGTTTCCATAGTTTGCAAATTGTCCCTTTCAATTATTGCTCAAGAAGTGATGCACAGTGTTAATTCAGTTTTCTTTTTAGTTTATAAAATTGTCCAGGCTTTCTCGTTTTTTTCCATTGTATTATTTACGCCAACCCTAATTCAAATAGTAAATATTTCATTTCATCCAAGTCAGTAAATGTTTGTAGCACACGTTTCCATTGCAACTAAATATTAACAGCGATTAAATTATCCAGCTGATCATATTGTAAACAAATATGTTCTTCATAAGGATAACACAGAACTTTAAAATCCACAGGGGCGGAGCCCAAGGAACTGTTTAAAAAATTGTAAGGTCAGTTTGTAAATCTACACACCTAGACAAACATTTTGGTACAGTCTAACCTTGATATAAGGAACCTCGATATAACAAATTCCTTGATTTAACGATTTTTTTTTAAATCCCCTAGAACTCTCCATAAGACACAAAGTATATTTTACCTCTACATAACGAACAAACCATATAAACGACCTTGATTTAACGAATTTTTCATGATCCCGGCTAAAATAAGACACCTCAATATAACGAATTTATCATTGTCAGAACCCTCTACATAGCGAATTTAACCTCTACTTAACGAATTGTCTGCGTCTCTCCCTCGATAGAACGAACCCCCCACCCCCATTATTGTTTTTGAAAAATCAGTTTCTTCATCAAATGAAATGGAAAGGTGACGTCAACGCTTGCGCTAACATTCATCTGCTCCGTTTTATCCCTGTCTGCTGTTGTCGCTGCATGCGCGCTATGTTACAACTGAGAACTGATTTCATTTGCTGAGGACTGATGACGATGACGACGTAATGTGTAGTAAGCTGTGATTGGGTGATAAGTAACTATGGTGACTTGAACAATTTTTGGATGAAGAGAAACCTAAGAAAGAAAAATAATAGAAGAACAAAGCAAAGAGAATAGCAACATCGTTATCTTAACATTCCTTTTACGAGTGTTTTTATTAATCTTTAAGTTGGTACCACCAACTTAAATATCCGACCCCCATGGTATATTGCAATTTCAAACCCCCAAATTTACTACCAAAATTTATGAATATGTTGTATTTTATGAATGGTGTATAAGTGTGATTATACACTTTTATAACGACTTATCTTTATTATTTTCAATACGATTTGTTTAAACTAAGGCAACACCAATGCTATAGTTGATGATTATTACAGTATTGACATTCCTCTGTTGTGATTTAAAGCAGCACTGTAAGCCTACCGAACTATCACGCAGTAGCTTACAAAACTCCCTACTGTTTTGTTTTGTTCATTACAAGGTTTATTGCTATACACAACACAGTGTTTAGCTAGGTTTTAGGTGAATTAGATTAGAGTAAGCTGTGATTTTAAACTTGCAGTTTGTAACCTGTACCAAGGTCAACGACTAGAAATGTCATGATTGCGCAATATTAAAGATCCCTCCCCTTTAGTAGGCCTACCCCGGATAATTGAGGTTCTACTTTACAACGTAAACAGTGTTCAGTTCTTTTATCTAAAATTTTTCTTTAGCCTGTTTAGAATTTTTAAATTACTAAAACAGCTGATGATTTAAAGATAATCCATTGTATTATATAAATAAACATTATTCCTTTCTGTTCTTCTATTCTTGAAAACATGACTTTTATTTTTTCTCTCTTAATTTTTCATTAATTTACTCAAACAATCCACATTATTTAATGGTCCTTCGATCCAAGATATTACTTCAGCGATTTGGAATATTACACACATCCACTAAACTCTTCTTACATCAATATTTCCTCATTTTACCCATTGTTTTCTGTGCCTTTGAACTCTTACCTAACTGAACTCTTATTTCCATATTGAAACTGTTAACCCACTCATTTACACTTTGTGATTTTTGTACATTTATCTCATCATCTTTGTACAATGGCATCTACAAATAGTGATTTTAAAATTGAAACTTATACACGACTCACATCTATTATTAAAACTCGTCTCAACGAAATAAGAAACATCGTAGATCAACATGTTGAACAAGAAGAAACATTAACAGTTGTGTAACACGAAGCCTTAAAGACTCTCATGCAAGAAACCCAGTAGAAGAAAGAAGACTTTGATTCTTATTTTTATCGAATTGTAAGTACATCAAGTGAAGATGATTTGAACATTGAAACTTTAGCTGAAGATGAAGACCAAATCAATGAACTATTCATCCACATCACCAGCTACATTAAAGTGCTGCTTTCAAAAATTGGTTCTAACCCTTATTTGGCCAAGGTTAATTGCAGTTCAGCTCAACCTCATAAAACTACTGCAGTTCATGTAATCAACCCGAACTCATCTAGTCCAGCTCAACCTCAGAGAACAACTGCAATGAATGTAACCAAACCGAACTCATCAATTCCAGCTCAACCTCCGAGAACAACTGCAATGAATGTAACCAACCCGAACTCATCAAGTCCAGCTCAACCTCCGAAAACAACTGCAATGAATGTAACCAACCCGAACTCATCAAGTCCATCTCAACCTCCGAGAACAACTGCAATTAATGTTACAACCAAACCAAACCCATCAAGTGAGTTTCAAACCAAAGGCATCCAGCTTATACAACCTGAAACAAAACTCATCAAGAGGTTGGTGGCAAACACTATGCCTAAGTTCGTAAACTCGAAAATTAGAAATACCACAGTGACAGTGACAAAACCTCAACCAACGAATACAGATACAACAGTGAGCTCAACTACCTTGACAAGTGATAGTGCTGCCATCCAACCAACCAACATTGCTGTCATTCCAAGAGACAGTACTGTTATCGTTATCCATCCTACCGATAATGATACCACCCATCCTACCGATCGTGTTGCTGTTAAACCAACAGACACTGCCGCCGCTACAACTGAGAGTGAAACCACTACAGTAAAGACAGTCAAGCAATCCAGACAAGTGGTTGTATCTTCCGATGAAGCTCTGGACAAAGGCTACTCTTCATCACAAACTACAGAGGAAGCGCTCATCCTCCAATCTCACCTTGTTGAATTATTGAAACAAGAGTGCTTTGAATTGAAGAAATGTGTTATGAACTGTCAAGAATTGTTCACTTCTCTTACTCAATCTCATCATAAAACACCAAAGTTCCTTCAAAACTCTGATGCTCAACATATCAAAGAGCTAGGACTTCGGTGGTCTCCAGCAATAGTTTTTAAGGTGTTTCCCAGCAAAGATGCTAAAGGTTGAAAAGGAGAAGTAGAAAAATGCAAACAGCTGCTATAGCCGGCCTACAGCAAACTTTTGTGTTAGGTAATGTGTTTTGCTCTAAACTAACTGTTGAAGTCAGGACACTTCAAGGCCGGGAGTATGTTCAGTTCTTTTATCTAAAATTTTTCTTTAGCCTGTTTAGAATTTTTAAATTACTAAAACAGCTGATGATATAAAGATAATCCATTGTATTATATAAATAAACATTATTCCTTTCTGTTCTTCTTGAAAACATAACTTTTATTTTTTCTCTCTTAATTTTTCATTAATTTACTCAAACACTCCACAAACAGTGTACTGTAAAGTATTGTAGCCTAGGCTACTTTAATTGTTTTTTAATGAGGTCAAATCCTGACCTATATTGACTGACACTGGTTCTGAACCTCGACTTAGCGAAATTCCTGCAAACCTAACCTCAAAGAAAACCTTAGCAAGAATTTGAATTATTTTTAAAAACTTCAATTTCTTCCTGGATTGTAATTTTGCTTTAGAGGTATTATTTAAGGTTTGGGAGGTCATAAGAGCCACTTAAGCATGTCCTATTTCCCTGTAGCAAAATAGGAGCTACTGGTGTAAAAGCATGTTAATGGCAACAAATACAGCTTTAGTTACAAACAATTTTGAAAACCCTTTGAAGTTTTTATATTTGCTAAATCTTGAGGTTCTTTAGAGAGGTGAGTGGATCACATGTTTTACTTACCATTGAACTAAATTGGCTAGGAGAATATAACTGTTTGGCACAAGCCAAAATGGTACTGGTTTTCCCTGTCCCTGGAGGTCCATAGAATAACAAATGAGGCAACTGATCTTCTTTGATGAAATGATTTACTGAAATAGACAAGACATTTAGATTGATTTTGAAGTACCAGGAGCCTTATTCAATAAGTATTAACCTGTATTATCATGTATAAGTTTATTATTGAATCGAAACACTTGCAAAACATCTCATTTTTCTCATTGCCCAGTAGCATTTGGATAATTCCGTTGTTTATTTTTAAAGTGTAGCTACGATTGCAAGGCATTTCAAATTTTCAAATATTGTCCACTTGCAATGTGGGTGCATAATGCTTATTCAATGCATACACATATAAGCATTGCATATCTCTAATGATTTATATATGTATATCTAAAGCATTAGAGATATATGTGCTTTATATATCTCTAATCTATATGAATATATATCTCTAATCCGCCGACATGACGACTTTATAGGATTGAGAAATTTCAGACTTCACTGTGCTGACGTTCTACCAAACTGCGCTGACGTCGAACAGAGATTATTTGACTCTCCTGCTCAAAATGATCAGCCTGTTGTTCATCACATTGCTCGGCCTTAAGATCTAAAATTATTTTACTACTTTCATTCTTCGATGCGTGGCTTGGCTTAGGTTCTAAAAATTTGGTGAGATGTATGGGCTGGTTGGATCTGGTTGGGTTGTAAACCAAGTGGTAGAATTTGTTTCTCGATGATTGATTGTAGCTTCTCTCCCTTACAAATTCTGTAAGTTAATATTTTCGCTTCAGAAATCTTCCGTGTTTAATTTTTAATCTTGAAAATTAACCTTGAGAACCTTCAACACTAATATGTACCTAATAAACTAACTAAATACAACTATTCTTTAAAATGTTAAGTCCAAACTAATCAATGCAGTTATTTTTGTTTACGTGTTAAATCAAGTTATGACAATAAAAATAACCTGTAACAATTGTTTTTGTTAACTGCCGCTACAAAAGTCATATATAATAACATGGGCACATTCAAGGGCTGTATGACAGAAGCCGGCTTTTCCAGCGTTGTGACTAACTCCAATCGATTTCTCGTGGCCAAATACCCCATTTTCAACAACAAAAAATTTAAAATCCACGGAGGAAAATAAAAGTTTGCCCGTTGTTGTAGATTGAATGAATAAAACCATTATAAACTAAATTACCTTTAGTTAGGCTTTATTGAACATAGAATCTACCATGATATAGAACTAACAATATGAAACAAACTAACATCATAGTAAACAAAAACAACTTCTAAACATTTGAACAGATGTTACAATGTACAGATAGAAAGGAATTATATGACATTCTTCCCCTCCTAGCTGACATAGTCTTTTAGATACAAAGGCGGGTGTTTACTTCTGGAGCTTCTCCTTAGAGCAATCTGGTCCTGATTCAGTCTTTCCTCGTCTTGGAAGATAGGCTCAGATCCAGCATCAACTTGAGAACTTCTTTCATTTATTTGTAGATTGGTGTTTGAGTCTTCTTCATGTCGTAAATTGGTGTTTGAGTCTTCTTCATGTCGTAGATTGGGATTTGAGTCTTCTTCATGTCGTAGATTGGAGTTTGAGTCTTCTTCATGATGTGACACTTCTCCTACAGGTGCTAATTGCCTGGAACTCACTGTAGTTTCACGGCCATCTGCATATCTTATGTGAGAATACTCAGGATTCCCCTCAAGGAGCAGTACTTCTTCAACGAGTGGTTCGTATTTCGAGCTCCTGACAGGCCGTTTCATGAGCACTGGACCTGGATTCATGAGCCAAGATGGAGTTGTCTTACCATTACTAGATCTTCTAGAAAAGAAAAATAGTCTTTCATGCGGTGTTGTATTTGTTGAAGTACACAATAACGACCGGATAGAGTGCAAAGCTTCTAAATGTACTTTTTCCCAATCAGATATGTCCAGATTTTTACTTTTAAGTGATAGTTCGATTGTCTTCCATATAATACCAACATACCTCTCAGCTTGTCCGTTGCCCTGAGGATTGTAAGCTGTTGTACGACTGGTAGCAACTCCTAGTGAACATAAAAATGATTTTAGTTCTTGAGACATAAAACATGAACCTCTGTCAGAATGAATATAAGCCGGTACTCCAAACATTGAGAAAAGTTCCTTAAGTCTCAGAATAACAGTCCTAGCAGCTGTGTCTTGAGTAGGGAACGCGAATGGAAATCGAGAGTATTCATCTACGACTATTAAAAGATAACGATTTCTACTCTTGGAAGGAAGTGGCCCTTTAAAATCTATATTCAGTCTTTCGAATGGTTGAGTAGCTTTGATAAGTTGTCCTTCATGTTTGTGGAATCGAGGTTTTACCTCTAAGCAGGTTCGACAGGAGGAAGTTACTTTTCTGATCTCATCCAGTGAATAAGGCAAGTTTTTACTCCAAGTCCAATGATACATTCGAGACGCTCCTGGATGACATAAAGCGTCATGTAGTGATACAAGGTTTGATAAACTTCCTTCCATCGATGAACACACCCTGGATAAAGCATCTGCTGTTTTGTTCTCTTTTCCAGCTCTGTAAATGATCTCATACTTATAACAGGATAACTCAATTCTCCATCTCATTATTTTATCATTCTTGATTTTGCTTGCATTCCGATCACTGAACATGAATGCTACAGATCGTTGGTCTGTTATAAGGCGAAAGTGTCTGCCTATGACGTAGTGCCTCCATTTTCTTAACGCTTCAACTATTGCATATGCTTCTTTCTCAATAGATGAATGTTTCTGTTCCGAGTTAGTAAGTGTTCTAGAGAAAAACGCTACGGGTCTACCATCAATAGTCAAAGCTGCTCCTATTGCATGATTTGATGCATCAGTTTCAACTGTTAACAACCCATCACAGTCAATCGAAGAAGTTACTGCATTAACAATGTCTTGTTTAAGTCTTTGGAATACACATTTAGCTTCTTCATTCAGTGGAAATGAACTTCTGTTTAAACAGCTCACCTTCTCAGAAAATTTAGGAATGAATTGTGAATAGTGGGAGAACATACCAAGAGCTCTGTGAAGAGAGTTTGAGTTGGTTGGAATGGGAAGATCTCAAAGTGGTTGCAGACGATCTGGATCTGGTCTTATTGATTTATGACTGATTACATAACCTAATAGATGGATCATGGCTGTAGAAAACTTGCATTTATGTTTGTTCAAGGTAAGATTATATTTGGAAACAGCTTTCATAATGTAGTAGAAGTCATTATAGTTTCATATATGAACAGTCATAATTATTAGTAACGGAAGAGTTATTATGTTTTGCGGGGTGGCTGCACTGTGCACTGAGCCCTGAAGTGGGATGATTCGTCACGGCTCCTTCTTCTATGTCCACCAACGATAGTAAGTGGTTCTCTCTTAATTACTGTCCACTTTTCTTGTGTTCTAACGTAACGGTTAGGTTACGACATTTTGGCGCAGTCGGTAATAAACCTTTTTATCATAGTTAGGGTAGTACGCGATAACAGTTGTTGTTTTAGTGCGTATTATAGTTGAGATGATTAAAAATGGCGAGTATTAGTGTTGGCAGGATTTCTGAATTTAATCCAAGTGAGGAGGACATTGTGCCCTATTTGTTGCGCCTGAAACATTTTTTCAAAGCGAACAATGTCAAGAAGGAGAACGAGGTGTCGGTTTTAATTACAGTTATTGGTCCCAGGGTTTTATCGGTCCTATCCGATTTATTATCACCGGTAGAGGTAGATTCTAAGACCTATGATGAACTTGCAGCGTTGTTGAAATTACATTATGCGCCCAAGAAGTTGGTTGTGGCGGAGCGATATGTATTCTACTCTCGTGTGCAAAAGCCGGGCGAAAGCATAGCGGAGTTTGTGGTTTCAATAAAACATTTGGCTAGTTCGTGCAAATTTGGTACCTTTTTGAAAGACGCTTTGAGGGACAAATTGATTTCCGGCATTTCTAATGAAACTATCCGGCAGAAATTGTTGTCGGAGGAATTGGACTTTGACGAAGCTTATGCGTCAGCGCTCAGGCTGGAACAGGCCGAATCGCAGTCAAGCCTATTTGTGCAACCTCGTGGGGACATTGCGAAAATCAATGTGAAAAGTCAAAATAGGCCTAAAACTTTCATGCATAGGAGTAGTGAAAATCAAAATTCTAGAAACTCTTGCTGGAGGTGTGGTTCTGCGGGTCATTGGCCTAGTGCGTGTGCGTTCGCCAGTTACAAGTGTCACGGTTGTCAGAGAGTAGGTCATCTCAAGAAAGTGTGTAAAGCCAAGAAATCTTCTAGTTTCCATGGTAAAAAGTCGACACCTAGGATGGGGGTCCATCAAGTGGAGGAAGAGGTAGGCCTAGGCCTAGAAGTTCCAATGGCAGAGATAGGTCTGTACAACCTTAAATCAGGATCAGACAACGGCTACAGTTGAACCTCGTTTGTACGAACCTCGATAAAACGAATTCCTCGATAAGACGAATTTTTTTAAATCCCCTTGACACTTTCATATAGGTCAATGCTAAAAACGCCTCTATACAACGTAGTAATTAAGTTAAAAACCTCCATAAGACGAATTTGTTTGTGACATGGGCTAGGACTGATTAACCTCTATACAACGAATATTCTTAGCACAAAACCTCTACAAGACGAACGTGACCTCTATAAGACGAATTTATCATAATCTTAACCTCCATAGTACGTAGTTTTCAAAACAAACAGAAGCTTGTCTCAACATGAAACCCCCACCCATCCCTCCTCCTTCCTCAGTCATTGTTTGGAAAAACCTTGGAGCGAGGAGGAACCTCTATAAGAAGAATAACAGCAGCATTAAACCTCGATAACACGACCCTCTTTATTAAGAATACCTCTATAGTACGAATTTTTCCCGTACCCCTTGAAATTCGTCTTATAGAGGTTCAACTGTATAAGGTAGGCCTAGTGGCTAATGATGTATATTTAGAAATGATTCTAGATACAGGCAGTGCCTTGACTATATGTCCTTCTGAGATATTTTATGAAAAATTTTCTAACCTCAAACTTAGGCCAGCAAATGTGAAACTTACTACTTATTCAGGTCATGATGTACCTGTTCTGGGACAAGTGAAT